GGCCCCTTTGGCAGTAGGAAACACATAGACTATTATGGAGATTGATTTTGGAATTCAGGTGCACTCTTATTGATTGTGCTTGGCTGTACTTTTTTGAGATTTGACAAGTTGTGGTCACCTTGTTTCTCTACTGAGAGGACTTCTGGACCATGTTTCGTGTAGGGCTACTTTAAGACAAACTTAAGAGGGTCCTGGATATTAAAGCTGTCTTTTCTAAGATAAAACAAAACTATTTTAACATCTTCTATGCTAAATTACTTGAGGAAATTTGTAGTAAATTCCAAACAGAACAAAACAAGAGCTTTTCAATCATAAGCTTTATGACAGCATTTGGGAAAGAGAAGGGTTCATATGTATGTCAGCCTAGAAAAAAAAGAGAGAACTATATACTCATGTGTTGTCAAGTTACATGATTATACAGATTTTCTAGTGAATGCCTTGTGTAAATCATTATGATGAAAAGAGTAAGGGAGCTACAATAGTATGTAGGGGTTGTTTTGCTACCCCAAAGGTAAAAAGTAATTTAAATTGACACTAAAACTTTTCAGTGAGCAAAAAAAGGAGAATTCTAAGATTGATTCCATGACAATTTCTGGAGAACACTGTTCAATCAAGCTGACCTGGATGTATTCCAGGTTACCTGCTTGAAGAAGACCTTGGCTTCACTCCTGTAGCATTTTGTGATGGCCCCAGAGAGCAAATATCCTCACTCTTCCCATGGAAGCTGATTCTTGGGCATTCCATTGATTGTTTTCCCCTTTCTCCACAGATCTTCTACTCTGCAGGATAGGGATAAAGTTCAGATTGCAAATAGAAATTCCTGCCAGATGACTTTCACATGAAAGTCACATTTCACAGAAAAGGTATGCCACAGTACTCTATTTCTTCTCTAAAAGTTAAACCCTGAGAAAACTAAGATGAGTTCCAGAAGAGTTACTACCTTCTCTGCAACAAAGAAAGCATATCCAATTCTGAAGAGCACTAACATTGATTTACTACCACCCTGAAACTCACTGTCTGCATAATCTAACACTGACAAAGGTGCAAAATTTGAACAGACTCAAGACAAAAAAAGAAATTAAACAGGACATAAGAACACTCTCAATCAACTAAAGTCTGGGACCAGATGACTTCACTGGTGAATTCTACCAAACATTCAGAGAAGAATTTACAACAATTCTACTCAAACTATTTCAGAATATAAAAAAAGATAGAATACTACTGAATTTTCTCTATGAAGCAAGCATAACTGTGATACTAAAGCCAGAAAAAGACAGCATGAAAAAATATTAAACAAGACTATCCTTAATCCTTATGAATAGGGAGGTTTGGTGGCATAATCTATAGAGAGCTGGAAGCTAATCCAAAGGCTGCACCTCCCTAGTGGTTCAAATATACCAGTGACACTACAGGAAAAAAGATGGGCATTGTCCTCTCCTGCAATTTACAGTCTCAGAAACTCAATGGAAGGTCAACTATGAGTTGGTTCGGACTCGATGGCAATGAGAGAGATAGAGAAAAAGAGTAAAGCTCATAAACATGAATGCAACAATTCTCAACAAACTTCCAGCCAATAGAATGCAACATCATATATTCATGATCAAATCATCTAATTCAGGTATGCTAGGTTGGTTCAACATTAGAAAAATAATCAGTAATACACCATATTTTAAAAAAATACAACAAAAAACAAAAGCGACAATGATCATATCCGGGAGGTTGGTCTATATGAGAAGGAATATAGCATCAGGATTGGAGGAAGATTCATCAATAACCTTCATTATGCAGATGACACAACTCTGCATGATGGAACAGAAGAGGACCTGAAGTGCTTGCTGCAGAAGGTCAAAGACTGTAGCCTTCAATACAGACTGAAGCTCAACATCAAGAAAAAAAAAGATTCTCACCATTGGGCCAATTGGTAGCATCATGATGGATGCTGAAGAGATAGAAATTGTTAACAGCTTTAGTTTGCTTGGCTCCAAAACCAACACTCTTGGTACCAGCAGCCAGGAAATCAAAAGATAAATTGCATTGTGAAAGTCGGCTGTCAGGGATCTCTCCAGAGTACTGAAGAGCAACAATATCAGTCTGGAGACTAAGATGTGCCTGATGCAGGCCATGTTCTTTGCAATTGCTTGCTATGCATCAGAGAACTGGACAATGTCTAGGGATGATAGAAAGAGAACTGATGCTTTTGAGTTGTGGTGCTGGAGAAGAATATTGAATATACCATGGATTGCTAGGAGAACAAACAGTTTCATCCTAAAAAGGGTGAAACAAGGCTGCTTGTTGGAGGCAAGGATTCTGACGCTTCATGTGACATATTTTGGGCATATTGCAAGGAAGGACCAGTCTTTGCAGAAGGACATCATGCTTGGAAGGGTGGAGGGTCAGAGAAAGAGAGGAAGACCATCAATGAGATGGATTGATTCAGTGTCTGGGATAATGAGGATAGGTGTGTTAGAGACAGTCAAGCTGGCAGTAGATAGAGCAGGTTTCAGGGCTATTGTCCATAGCCTCGCTATGAGTCGCAAGCCACTTGACAGCACATAACAGCAACAACAATTGATGTAGAAAGAGCATTTTACAAAATCCTACATCCTTTCCTGATCTAAATGTTAAAAAAAATATGAGAATGGAAATTCCTCAACATAATTAAAAGTATAGATAAAACCAGTGGTAAACATTACTTTCAATGTAGACAGGTTGACCCCTAAGTAAATGGGAATCTGACAAGGCTGCGCTTTATCACCACACCTATTCAATATTGTATTGGAAGTCCTAGCTGGACCAATTAGGCAAGAGAAGGAAATACAAGGCATCCAAATTGACACTGAGGAAGTAAAACAACTTCTATTTCCAGATGATGGGATCCTATATGCAGAAAATTCCAAAACTCAGCAAGAAAATGACTGGATTAATTTGCTGAGTCATCAAAATGACAAGGTACAAGATTTAAAAAAAAAATCTGTTGCCTTCCTCTACAGTAACAAGGGAATATCAGAAAAAGAAATACACACAGTATCATTTACAATAGCCACTTAAACAGATGAAATATATGGGGATAAATCTAACCAGAGATTAAAAAGATTTATACAAATAAAATCACAACACACATCCACGTGCCCCCGCAAAAACAACAACAACAACAAAACACCCACCACTGCAAGAGATCTACATAAATGAAAGGATAAACCATGTTCATGGATTGTTGTTGTTGTTATGTGTTGCCGAGTTGCTTGTGACTCATAG